ATAATGAGGGCCACCAGTGTAAAAGTTGGTCCATGGCATCTGGAAGATGCCCAGTTTGGGAAGACTTCTTCTGTCTTTTAGCTAGTGGTATGTGTGTAGCCTTCAAGTCAGTGTTGACTCCTGGCAACTGCCTGGACTAGTTCCTGCAGTTTTCTTGGCAAGGTTTTTCAGAAGTGGCTTGCTATGGTGTGCTTCCTAGGGCTGAGAGAGAGTGACTGGCCCAAGGTCACCCAGCTGGCCTCATGCTTCAGGTGGAACTAAAACTCACAGTCTCCTGGTTTCTAGCCTGGTGCCTTAACCACTAGGCCAACTGGCTCTCAGTGGTCTGTAAGTAATGTCTAAATTAAGTTACTGGACACAAGAACTTATAAATTAAGAAAAAAAATGTTAGAAGGGGAACATACTTATATATACATATCTATCTACATGTGCCCATCAACCATAAGAGGTTGTTCCCACACAGCAGAAGAATATGCATGGAGTCTTATGCATGCTTCAGAGTCCTTTGTCCTCGAGAGGAATAATAATCAAGGTTGGGAAGATGAAATATTATTTTTTATGGGCATGGCTTAGTCATTTTCAGTTCAGTCATTTGGATTCTTTTGGCATAATATTCACTAAACCATATGAAAACTTTTTCCAGGAATAAGTAGATTCATTGTACTCAAATGCACATTGTGTAATAAGATGACATACAGTTTAACATTGTAATGGTTTAATAAGCAACACCCTCTAACATCTCTTGACTTTAGAAAGCAGCCCCATTGCTTTAACAATGGCACATTTCAGCAGCAGGAAAGTTGGACAAAGAGAACATTTATGTTCTAGATGCTTCTTGTGCCCACATAAGCTGCCTACTCTCCAAATATCTCAATAAAGGAATTTCACTTATGACTGGAAAAAGTGCTGTTTCTCTAAACCTGGTGCCCATATTGATTCCATGTAGTGGATGTTGGAGAGTTTCTGATCTTCAAACCAGAAACCCATGCAATGTGGAGAAAAGAGTGGGGGATCAGAAGGAGTTGCTTTACAGAGAACAGGTACGATTTTTTTAAAAAGAAAGATATTGTGGTACATTGCATCCTTCAAAGATTCTGTAGATATCTGTAACAGGTATCTGCTGTGCAGCATGAATTTTAAAGTGCAGCAACTTCTCTGAAGGCCATGGTTATGCTTATGGAAAGCTAGAAGTGTTGAATATATAATCTCAGCTGGTCCTCTTATCTGCAAGATATTCAGAGAAGTCAGGAACATTTTTTAATTGTGGACTATGAAACTCAGGATGTCTAATTTAGTTTTTGGGATTACCCAGAATAGAAGCCATCTGAATGAGCCTGTGAAGTATAAATTATTGTAGCATGTGGGCCTGATCTATTCATAGGTCTGTGAAATCCTGGACCAGTTGTGGAACTGTAAATATCACAGATTAGTTAGCAAGTATGATGTATGCAGGGTTTAAAGCCAAACTGCATGATCAAAAATATCAATTGGTACACCTCTCCGGGGAGCGTTCCATTTTAGAAGGCAACCACTCCCATATGTTAACATTTGCCTCCATTGAAACAACAACCCCAACCCCCTTTTGTAATGATAGATAAATTGTTCCTATTGTGAAAGTCTTCCAGTTATGTTTCTCACTAACTTCTATACTATAGAACTTCTAGGAACTTCTTATAGACAACTGTTCATTTATTTTTACAAACAGGATCATAGATAGACTGGTTGAATGAGCTAAACGCGGCTCTCCTTTGCACATATAGTTGGACAAATATAAAGATTTTGTAGATAAAAGGTATCCTGAGTGAGTGCAGCTGGTGGGAATATCTAGCTAAACATGTCTGGATTTGGCAGTTAAGTAGGGCCAGGCCTTCTTAACCTTTGGAGGGAGACTACCAGTCTAGTTAGTTAGTTAGATAGGCTAGTTGTTAGAAAACATGGCAGAAGAAGGCGATGAGAAAGTATTCCATAACTGCCAAGAAAATAGTAGGGTTTGGTTATGTCCATGTAGTCACCAGATCTGATTGATTCATTGATTATGTACCATTCAGTCATTGTCAGCTCTTAGTGACCACATAGACAGATTTTCTTCATGACGATCTGTCCCTCACCTGGTCTTTCAGAGTCTTTCCCTTGCCTTAAATGCCTTTTAATGCAATATTCAGGAATTTCAACTTTTAAAATCTGTTCATTTAATGTGCCGTAGGGGTGGGGTGGGGGTATGTGGGAACTTGACATGGGTAAGAAATCCACACACACTCCTCAAATGACTATACTGACAAATCATTTTGCATTATATGCAAAAGCACCTTAGATGCCATTCTCTCCCAGCAAGTAAAATGCTCTTGCATATGTCTTCTTCAAGAATGCACAGTCTACACACTTCTGCGAGTATCCCATGGTATCCTTTCAAGAATGGCTCCTCTGTATCGAAAGCTCCGAGGGGCACTTCTGAAGGAAAAGTGTTGGCCTCTACTCCTACTGGGTGCTTTTCAAGTGAATAATTTCTGCTCTGTATAGTAATATGTGGTCCTAGGCTCTGGCCTCACTTGATACTAAGACTTCTCTCTAGTTCAATGGGTGCAGTGGGCAAATAGGGGCTGTGCTTCAGTAAAAGTATTATTCTTGAAGACCTCTTTCATCAACATGGAATTCCTTCAGATTACAACTCATAGAATTCCATGCTGATTGGGAATTCTAAGAATTGTGCTCCGGATCCATTGAGATCCATTTTTAAAGAGGTTCTAGTGTAAAAGAAAAATGTTTAAGTTCACTTTTTCTTTGAAGTACAAGCGAGCAAGCAGCTGAACAGGAAAGTATCTGTATGGTAACTCAGTTTAAAATCTCAATATTTAGTGTTGCGTGCCTGTGAAGTTTGTGGTACTTGATCTATAATCAGTATTTCTTGTTCTGAGAATTGCCTTGATCAATTTGAATAAAAATGTAATTGTCAGTATTTGGGAGCTGATTTTTCTTTTGCTAAATTTCATTGTGATCTTGAATGGGTTCTGATTATGTAGCCTCAACTCTGAAACTGCCATCTTTTAAGGGATAATATAAGCATCTAATTGAATCCCCTTTTTCTGGATTAAAAATCTGCTTACGATTGTATAATACGTTGGTGGAAAATGAGTTGTGTCTTTTACACTGCAAATTGCAAAACCCTAGATCTCATTAAAGTATATCCTTTTGGTGTTCATATCCATTAAATTCCCTTCAGTTCTTTTATGAAAATAATGTCCAATTACATTTGATTTTTGTGCCATCCTTTTGTGCCATTCCAGCACAACATTAGAATAAAGCTATTGGGGTGAAGATCTGGTGCTTTCATTCCCCTTACAGTGATCAGAAGGGGCAAACCAGTCTGTGTAATTGCAGAACGTGAATCTGTGCTGAAATTGGATCTAAAAATGAGTCAGACTTCACTGCGGAAAATCCTGAGATGTTACAGTTTCCCCTAGGAACCTGATAGGGAACAGCACTCTACCGGAGTGCTGTGACTTCCCGTTGTTATGCTCAGAAAATACATTCAGGTTTATTGATTTTTTTAATAGCACAGAAACACTGTCTGTAACCTCTTTTCCAAGGAAACTGAACCTTGGATAAGTGCTGGATAAATTCCTGGAGTTTTTGACCGTTTAGAAGTAGAGCACACTTGTGCACCGCCATCTAGCCTAGCCTTTCCAAGTGACTCATTCCATTTTGTCTAATATGCTGCCAAAGGAAAGGTAACAGAGGATTTGATGGGCAGGGGGACTCAAAGATGCTTTGCTGGGCTTGTCAATTTTAACCTTTTTAAAATATGTTTTACCTCACCAAAGTCTTTGTTAGTTTTACATTCCATCTTTCATTCAGGACCTTATGGTGACATACATAGAGTTCTTGTCTCCCATTTTCCTTCCAACAAGCCTGTAAAGTAGGTTGGGTTGAGAGAGAGAGCAACTGCTCTGAAGTCACCCAGTGAGCTTCTTTGGCTGAGGGTGGACTGGAACTGGGGTCTCCCTACTCCAACATTATAATCCATTATGACTATCCAAAAGTCAATATAAATTTGTGAGCATTTACAGCAGAATGATCAAAATCAGAGCCTGATTTCCCTTAATTCTTCATAGAAACTCTTCTACAGCACTGCAATATCTGCTGGGTGATTTGATACAGGCAGGCCACACAGCAAGATTTTATATTCTTTGTTTGATATGGTTATTATACAGTATCTGTATCTGTTGTAGGTTCCTTTGGAACCTGGATTTTTGGGGTTCACCTTTGTGCCCTCATTTGGAAGACTGCCAACTCAATGCTACCTTGCTGACTGCACAACATTTTGTGTGAGTATTGGAGAAGTGTCTGAGTGTAAGAGCTTTAAAAAAAATCAGTTTTTCTCATTTATCTGTTAACTTTTGTCTCAGTTATTTAAAGTGGGGAGGGGAGAGAATTATCTCAAAATATGCCTAGCTTGGAAATAAAAGATTGGGTACAATAGGCAGAAAAGTATTGTCAGACTTTCTTGTCACAGCAGATAGCAGCACCTCATTGAGCTCAAGAAAAGCAGGATGGGCCTGGTTAGTATGAGGATGTGTCACCCCCAGGATATCCCAGGGCTGTAGGCTAGGCTAGGAAAGTTTTTAAAAAGCATGCCAGGAGAAGGAAATGGAAAATCCATATTGTTCCCAAGAGAAACTTCATGGATCTCTCCAGGTAGAATTGAGCTCAACTCATGGAAATCTTTACATTTCCACTTTGCAACATTATGGGATGCAAGCATGTGTCTGTGGCAGTAGCGGCAGGATTATGAGAGTAGGTATACAGAAAGGCCCCAGAAATCAAAAGGTTATTCCAGGATAGACCATCTAAGACTAAGTCAATTCACCAAATTCCTTTTGGGGCTTTCAAATCTGACAGATGTTGTGTGGTAGCAAGCTCTGGCCTAAAGTAAACTGTGTGTTTCTTCCAGTGTCTGAAATAAATCTAAGCATTATGATTCCAGCTCTATAACTGAGAATAAAATGTGCACTTGTTCACCAGAAGAGAATATCTGTAATGCCCCAGGAAGGTTCAAGAACTAGACATTGATTCTAAAAAGCTCAAACGTGCAAAGTAGCAAAGATAAGCCAAGCCATTTAACTTTCAAGAGATAGCTACCAGTTACCTTCCTTTTTTCCTTTAACATTAAGAAGGGAACCAGTTTAGGTTGGGACTAGTATAATGGAAGGGATACGAGACCCCACTGACCCAGCAGCAGCCTCTGCCTCAGTCCCTTCCTGCAGTTTCTCTTTCCAAACAATGATCCATTAGACCATTTTCATGATTAATATAGTTTGTGGATGAAGGAGTCCAGTCCTGTGGGATCAAGATACCTATGTTAGAGTCCCAATGTATCCTGGAAGCTTTATAGTTTGGAATAGAAATGAAAGGAAGACAGCATAGCTGCTAGCTAAGATACAGCTTGGCCCAGCAGAAGGCCTGGGAAATGGTATGTGGTGAGAGCAGGCAGATTCAAGGGCTGTTGGCCAAAACAGAAAGTTAAATAAGGACAAAGGTTATCGGCAGCCAAACCCAAAACATCCAGCACTAAGGAAGAAGGATTGCCTTCCATAAGCTGGTGACCTCCAGGTTAACACTATTCCCAGGATGAGGGTAGGTTGTGCTAAAGAGGAGAGGACATGCAGATCTCTTAATATATAAAGATGGAACCGACTGCAATATGCCAAGTAACCTGAATGTAGTTCTTGCCATTGTTGATCTTATGTTATTCAAATACAACCCCCCCAAGCACCAGAAGGGATTCTTCAACAAGAAGAATTAAATATACCTTTTATTCTAGGATCTATCTTGCAAGGGTTCCAAGAGTGTACATGTTGTTTAAATACAACCTAAACTGTTTTGAGCCACAATGTTTTCCTTTACAAGCAAAACTTCCCAGCTGCAAATTCTTTGTTTTGTCTGCTAGGGAACATTTTGGTCTGAAGCCTTTTTTCCTTTCATACCTACGGGGTTTGCCCCAGATTTGTCCCTCTAATAATCATGGGAGTCCCGGCAGTTCCCACAGCCAGAATCCCCGGGGCCCTTGTTCTTGAAACACTTCGCGTTCTCTTCTGCCTAGCTGCGTCTGCTCCAGATTTCTGCATTGTCCTGGATATTGAGTGAACTATTCCTTCCAGTTTTGTCTTTTGTGTCCTTCAAAAGGGACAAAAAATTGATTGTATCTCTAGTCTCAACCCTCAGACAGACAATGCACATGTGAAACAGGGTGGAGGTGGTAAAAACCATTTCCTTCAATAGTTAATTCCCTCAGCACCCCACACATACTGTACAAACTGTTTTGTTTTGTTTTTAACCTTATTTGTCATGTTTTCATGTAGGAATTTTTAATTCATTGTGGGCAAGGAGAGAAGCATAGCAGAAGATAGTACTGAGCCATCTCTCTCTTTCATTCTCTGCTTTTTCCTTCCTTCCTTCCTTCCTTCCTTCCTTCCTTCCTTCCTTCCTTCCTTCCTTCCTTCCTTCCTTCCTTCCTTCAGAATGAAGTGATTGCTGAAACAAAGGAATTGGAGAAGCCATCTGCCATAGGAGGTGAAAACAAGGGAGCCGGTGAAGCTGCCAGCTGCCCCAACAATAAGCACAAACTTTTCAAACTCAAAGAAGATAAGGCAAAGGGAGGGAACATGAATGGGAATGGTCTTTTCAAGGCTGAGTTTGTTCTCATCACAGACTCAGATGAAGATACAAAAGCTATTTTAGGCAATGGCTACGGACATGAAAGTTCCAGGATTTTAGCTGCATCCCATGTGTCTAGCGGTGATGAGTGGAAAGGACAGGGGAACGTGACCCAGCCGCCACAGCACACTGACCTTCCCTGCAGTTCAGCCAGTCAACAGAAACATTCTCAGGTAAAGCGAGTAACCTGACACTCTCAGGTAAGGCCCAGAGTCACTTGTTGAGATGGGCGGTGATACAAATCAAATCAAATCAAATCAAATCACATTCTTCCATTTCTGCAGTGTACATGGAAAGAGAAACGATTGTGCTTGTTAGGGAAGCCTGATTTTCTGCATTGCTCTTCAGCATCAATCCCTTCAGGGTGTAGCAGCCCATGGTTGTTTTCTGTGGCTGACAGGAGCTGCATGCCAGCATATGTCTATATGCCAGTAAGACCCAGGAGAAAAGAGAAGCGCTGTATTTTACCACTGATTTGAATTTTCAGTGGGACTTGCCAGCTGTGAAAAATAGTAGATTGTTGCCATATTTCAGGAAAGGAAACATTCTGACCCATGAGCAGGTCACTCGCACACACACTTATGTAGCTATGCATACTTCTGAAAGCTGCAATAGCCATGTAGCAGGTTGTTTTGGCTATTCCTTTTGCCCCTTTTTGGGGGGGGGGGGCTTCAAAGGAGGAAATGTATGGGTTCTACCTCACAGAGCCTTAGTCCATCCATTTCCACACTTTTCTTTCATTAAAAATACTTCTGAAAGCTGCAATAGCCATGTAGCAGGTTGTTTTGGCTATTCCTTTTGCCCCTTTTTGGGGGGGGGGGGCTTCAAAGGAGGAAATGTATGGGTTCTACCTCACAGAGCCTTAGTCCATCCATTTCCACACTTTTCTTTCATTAAAACCATCAAAACGTTGGTAATGTCACCAATGATCACTGAGATTCTCTAGAAGTAGGGGCTACATTTATTTATTTATATCAATGTATATGGCCACCCATCTTGCTAAAAGTGACTCTTGGCAGCTAACAAGGATAGCTATTGATAATTGTAGGCAATATGATGGCTGAAGAAATGTTGTATCTGAGTCAATAATGGGCCACAACCAGTATCAAGGTGAGCAGATTATTGCAAATGGAACTCATGAAGTCCTAGAAGGCTCTTTTCTAATTTCCTATTGCCCTGAGAAATGGAAATGACATGTGGATCATCCTATGTGAATTATTTTCCCATAATGGGTTGCAGATATTTGGTATCTAAAAATATGTTGATAGTTCTGATAGGAAACTCTTGAGAATCCTCGATGGAATAGTTGTTTTCACTGAAACAAGTTAAAAAAAAATTAGCCACGAAAGAGTAAGGAACATGCCCTTTTGCTGATCAACTTCTTTGGACCCTGGGCATGAGAGGCTGTGTGGGCCATTGTTGGCAGCTATTTGGCCAAATCGAAGGGCCATCTTACAGAAGGGCTAGAAGGGCCATTTTGATTTACCTCTTAGAGTTGTTTTTATTGTAAATGCTTTCTTATTTTTGCAAAGTTATGATATGATTGTCCAACAGACAAGGGAAACCGATCATTTCATTTGTAAATAAAAATAAAAATAGACACAAATAGTTTAATGCTGAATACCATACCTTTAACAACTCACCCTGCTATTTAATACTGGAAATTAAGACCGTCACTTTCCCAGTTAAAGAACTCAACAGACATTACAGTTTTGATTCTAATCTCTCTTCTTTTTCTTTTCCCCTTCCAGTTAACTTCTCCTCTGTCTACCTCTGATCACCTTTCCCATAAATCAGCTGCTGCTCCTTTACTTTCTCCAACTAATCTGAAAATAGAACACGAACTGGCTGTTCCAGGCCATCAGGCTTCTTCTCAGCAAGAATCTCATAGCCGGTGGCGGTCTGCAGATGGATCCTGCATACACCAGACATCCACCTATTTCCAGTCTACTACTTCTTCCTCCACACAAAAAGTACCTCCTTTCCCATTTGACAGCCTTGCAGATAGTGCTCAGTTACCCAGTAATATTCAGACTCACAAACCTGAAAAGGAATCCTCCCCATTGCCACCATTATTAAACAAGGATTCCTGTCCTCCTTTACAGGTTCCAACTTCAGCAGATGCTCTTCAGAGCTCGTCCCCTCAGTCCTATTCTCCTCTTCCTTCCAAGAAACTGGTCCCATGCCCCGTGGTTCCCATTTATATTACAACACATGTATTATCACCAAGTCCCAACCAATTGCCATCTTCTCTACATGGTTCTTCTTCAAATATATATAATGTAAACAACCCCTCTAGCCAAATGTCATCAAGTGGGAATCTGCCAGTGTCTGGAATTAAATCTCCTCTTCCAAGTAGACTCTCTCTTTTGACCGCTATTCTGAAGTCAGGGCCTTCTCCAAAAAGGCCATTTTCTCCTGCATCTTGTCCTGCCACTTTTTCTCCCAATTCCTTAGATTCTTCAACTCTGGCAATTGAGAAGAAATTTAAATCTACCCCTCCCACTCCCAAGAAATCTGCTTCACATTTTTCCATCAGGTCAGATTCCCCATGCCAGGACGAAGGTCACCTTTCGGTGTTTTCGAATGCACCAAGCCATATGATGTTCTCCTCAAAGTCCAGTCCTACCCTTCAAACTTGGTCTCTGTCCCCTAAAAGGACTCTTGATACCAGGGCATGTTCCCCTGACAAATTGCGTCCTTTGTCACCTGCAATTTCCTCCTATAGAAAAACAGTTGTATCTCCTCTGTTAAAACCCAAACTGACCAATTTTTCCTTACCTCCCCATGGGCCAAGGCAAGGGGCCCTCAAAACACAAGAGCCTGAAAAGTCTACAAGGGTACACACCTGCTCTCCCACTTTCACAGCCAAGTCCTATCCTGTGTCAAGCCTTGCGGTCAACCAAAGGGACATGATCTCTACCACAGCACAAAAATTGTCTTTCTCTCCAACTCCTGTGCGTTCTGGTAATCAGCCTAAAGAGTATTTGCTACATGACTCTGCAAAGGACCGAAATACAAATTCAACCACTCATTGGCCTTTTTGTCACCAAGATTCAACCTCATCTATTCCTCCAGGCTGTAATACCAACTCCTCTTTGCTTCAGACACACGCATCCCCTCTTCATTCAAATTTCAGAGCTTGTCCCCTCTACTCAAGACACAAGACCCCAACAGTAACACCACACAGATCCCAGGCCCGAAAGCACTCTCCTTGCGCACAGTGGTCAAGATCAAGGGAGACTAGCTCACCGCTATCCTTTTCCTTGCCTTCTGATTGTGAGAATAAGGCTCCTAAGGTACTCTCTTTGGTTGCTTGTTTCTGTTCCTTTAATCCCTTTTCCATTTCTGTTCCAGAAAAATGGTGCCCAAAGAAAGAAAAACTGCAAATATATAGACATAATAATTATTGCATTTTTAATGTTTTCACATCTAACAACATGTTAGAAATGCAGTAATCAAACACTTCCCAAGCACACTTGTTCCATGGAACCAAGGGGGCTGTACTGGTTTAATTCATTTAAATATGTTGCACTCTCATTTCCTGAAACAGGCCTTGTTGACTGCTACCTCATATAGCACTATGGTTCAAGTTTGTGGCAACAATGGGCTAGTTTGAAGATCCTGTCACTCAAAATCAGTGGCTGCTGCTGGTGGGAATTAATTTTTGTGAATGATTCATGAAAATACTTAGAATTAACTTCAGTATAACAGACAGCTGTTCTATTACTGGTTATAAATATTTACATAAAGTCAGTTCTCCATGTAAATCGTAGCATATGCTATTTTGTGATAAATCACATTTATGAAGATTGCTAATAATTGCATCCTATTCTTGCATTCATCCCCATCTGTAAAGGATGTTTTTACATTACATTTGAGTCAAATCTGCAGATACAACTGTCTCTTTCACCGACACAAACAACCCATCTCCCCAATTAGAATATAGAAAGTATCAGAATGCAGCTCTCTCAAACGTGATTTGAGAAATCACTTTTCTGCAGTGTAGTGATTTGGCAGTGATTGCTACTCCATTCCAGTGGATCTGTTTTGCAGATTGTTAAAGTTTTCATTGTACCTTGATTCAGGAGCTCCATAACACCGTGGAGTGTTGTGGACAGCATATAGGATGACTAAAATTATAGTGTGGGAGAACAGTTAACATTCAGTTTTAATAACATCACTCCAGGCAACAACAGCTTCCTCTATGATTGCAGGAAATATCCTTAAATGCCTTATTTGAAACTTTGTGGATTTATGTAGACCTATAGGTCAGGTCAGTGCTAGGTTGATAGCACTCCACACACATACATACATGCAAACTAAAAGTAGGGTGACAATTCTTTTCATTAAGCTCTGAGACTAGAAAGATACAGTGCTACATAAGTCACGTCCTCATTTAATGAAGTTAAGTGACGCCACAGATCTGTTCAAACCCTGTTCCAGCAATTAAAATCCTCCACCAGTTCAAACCCTCTACTTTGTGGGGGCTACTTTGAATTGTGGCACCCTTTTTGTGTAGAACCCCTATCATAGATCTTCAAAGATGAGCTTTAAAGGTAGAGCTACCTATTACTTTACCAGCACATGTATCAAATCTCAGACTTACTTCTCATAGGTATATACACTTTAGGTTGGGGCAATTAGTGCCATAGTAGCTGTGGGAAAGATGTCTGCTTGACTCATTTCTTGCTTGCTCCCAACTGCAATTGCTTCTTCCAATTTGCTGTGATTTAGATGTTTGCAAAATAAATCATGGGCAGAACTGAATGTGTACATCCAGTGTAAATCTGAAGGCTGACTGGTGCACACATAAAGCCTCTTATATTCACAATAGAGTCCCATCAGATATGGGTGTCTGAGCTGAAGAAGCTGCCATGAATAAAAGTTGATCATCTAAGCTTCTCCAGCTCCATACTTAGCTTATTGTCATGGGAGCAGTGAAACAGCATGATTTGGGAGAGTGATAACAATGATATTGCCTCTTTCTGTACATTGAACCCTTGTCTGTGAGCTGTATTCCATTTCTTCTGTGACAGCATCTCTCATAAATGTGGCATGTTAATGGTATAGTTCTGCTATCCTAAATACTGTAAAAGCAGAACTCCTAATTAAAGCCCAGCTTTCCGAAGGGTTTACTTACGGAAAGGAACCCTGCAGAAATCAAAATTCTTACTCAGGTGGTAGGATGAAATGTAAGAAGGGAAGAATAAAGTAACTGAATACAGTTTAATGCTGGCTTTAATGCTATGTCTGACAAATGATTGTGTGATGGAGATCAGTGGACTGTCAAATCCACTTTGTCTCTTAAGTGTTATTAACATTTGGTTCTGATTACTCAACTTCTCATAATGTTGGGGAGACAAACTGGGAAATAGCAAGGAAAGCAAGGACAAGAAGGGTGATGAGTTAAGAGAACTTCAATTTGCATTTCAGTGCTTTATAGTACACCAGAAACAACTGAATAAGTAGTGGAGACAACAGCTTAAAAAAAGTGGGGACAATAGGAAATATTTTGTTACATTAGCATTGTAGAACACAGATATTGGTTGTTAAGAAAAACACAGAAGCTTATTAAAGGATGGTGAAAAATTCCCACATTTTGTGAATGCTGAATGACATTAAGTGAAATTATCCCAAGCAATTTCCAAGATATTTTGGTAAATTAATGTTTTTTATTGTCTAATAAATGGAATGAAGGAAGAACTAGAGACAAGGCACAAATTTTTTTTTCCTTCTTTACTGAATATTCTTTCCTTCTCAATTTGGCTATATTTGTACTGTTACTTGGTTAACAAGTTTGAGGTTCATGCTTACATAGTTTAAGGAAAAGTACTGCATAAAGCTGATCAGCCATCTCTGCTCCCAAGGGACTTCAGTGAGCTTGTAGCTGAATGTGTCACCTGTATGGGCAGATGGAAAAACTTCTGTGCATTGACTAAAATATATGAATGGGTATTCAATCTCTGGAACAAACTATGGTGGGAAACCTATTATATAAATTATGACATTAAGATGAGACTCATGGACATACAATACCTTTAAAAGTCAGAATAATGTATTCATGTGTAACCTTTTTCTCCCTTACACAAAGACAGCATTCATACTGAAGACTTAAAGGAATTAGTTTTAATGGCATCATATGCTTTCTGTTTCTGTTTCTGATTTGCAGTCATATAAGATCAATGCAAGCTACAAGACATTTGCAGCCATCCCAACAAACACACTGCTTCTAGAACAGAAGGTTAGTTGGGTGCTCAAAGGTATGTGCTGGTATTAATATTAATTTTGTAATTCAGGGCACAAGCAGATAACTGTGTGAAAGTGCTGTTTCCCAGTCTTCGAGCCAGCAGGAAAGCATGCTGGCAGAGCATGTCCTGCCCAGATTGCTGAGTCCTACTCAGCCACAGTAACAAGGCTGACGACAGGTTCTGTTCTTCCTCTTTTGATATGAGACAAGTCAAGGAAGCAATTGGTGGATCCCCCTGCTCTAGGTTCTCTCTCACCAGCCATCACCCACACCCACCAGTGTGAAAGCAGCTACCGATCACTCTCCCTAACATGGGGAAGGTAGAAGAGTAGGCAGGTGTGTGAAACAGTATGTTTAGCCACCGGTCAGGTTGCCTGTGACCTCTCAGTCTAGCTACTGCTGAAACGGGTCTACCGTTCTTCTGCAAGAGTGCTGAACTCATGTCTACAAATAGCCTGGCTGAGATCACAGGCCTGGAGGAGGGGGACAACGTGAAGCAGAAGGGCGCCATTGATGACAAGCAACTGGAACGCATAGGCAAAATGATCTACACCCCCCTCTGCCATAATAAACGGAATAAAAAGTATGTCTGCGTGAATCTGCAGAAAACCTGCAATGCAGTCAGTAGTGACAGAATCGGCAACACGAGCTGGTAGAAGCCCTCTCCCTTTCCCAGTTTAGAGGAGCCTTCCGTGCAGCAGAAGACTTTCTAAAGAGCACCAAAACCTTGCTCTGCCAGCTTCGTGCTGTTCAAACACTGCTAAGCCTGGGTTTGCAAAGGGCCCGCGTGAGATCGACCAAGCACTTTGGGAAGCACCAGTCAGTCATTACCAGGCACGTAATAAAGAAATAACTCTAATTAATGCCCCTGCAGAAGCCAGGTCTGGAGTCTCTCCTGTGGCCCAACCCAAAATGTTCCCAGCTGTTGAAGGGAAGAGGCATATCTGCAGCAGCCCAAAGTTTTAAGCATTAAAACTTGAAGCAGCCTAAAGTTCTAAAGCATTAGAATTTGGACAGGATCAACCCTGACCACATTAATAAAATATGCTAGATCATATCCACAGCAAATAAAAGGAAAACACTCCTTTAAAACTGGAGGGGCTAAATACAATTTTAAGCCGCTTCGGTTGTAACCTGGGGAATAAGACGGCAACATCATGAGACTGCAAGGTAAGAAATGGTTATTGGCACATGTTTGTGCTGCAGTTGTGGAGATGTGAGGATGAGCCTTCAGAGTGGGCTGGGTTTAGTTTAGAAAGCCTTTTCAAACTTCAGATTGTAGGTTGATTGATACCAGATCAAGCCTTCAAATGGGTAAACCAGCAAGCAAAATCCAGCTCAACGGCCACATATAATTTCAATAAAACACTTACTTGGTTGTGACTGTAAAATCAGACGCATATTTAGCACCCAAGAATCCATAACACTGCCCTGGCAGGGTTGACCTGGCAAGTCACCAATTCTGAAAAAACGTATTTAGTGCTGCTTTAGGCAATGCCAGAGGACACACTAGTTTGACTCAGGGTGTGGCATCCCCATTGTGCTTGGCTATAACATGGTTCATTGGTCTTGCCGTACTATGTTTGTTTGGAACCAGCCACTTCAATTAGTGAATCATGATTTATGGCTTAATATATTATGGTTAAGCATAAACCATAGTTCAACAAGCTTAATGTGAAGGGTGAATTCATTAGGTGACAAGTAGTTTCCAAAGGAATCAAGGGTTTGATTGGCAGCATGGCATTTGTTGAGTATTCCTTAGGCAAAAGCAATATTAGGGTACTCCAGGGTTCTCAAATGTTATGGTTGTAGAATCATAAGTGACTGTGGGTTTTAGAAACTCCTGTATCTAGTGACCTTCTATTATTGACTTTGGATGGGATAACACTCTCCCAGGCAGAGTTGGTGCTCAGTTTGGGGGTTCTTCTGAACTCACGGCTCCTGCTTGAGGAGCAGGTGATAGCCATGGCCTGGAGACCCTTTGCACAGTTACATCTTGTGCACCAGTTGTGCCTGTTTCTAGATCAGGAGGCACTGTTCACAGTTACCCAGGTCTTAGACACCTCCCTTCTGAACTATTACAATGCGCTTTACATGGGGCTGTCCTTGAAGAGCATCCAGAACCCTCAGATGGTCCAGAATGCAGCAGCACTTCCAGACTGGGCACTTCATGGTATGCACACATTTACACCACTGCTATGGGAGTTGTCCTGGCTCTAAATATATGTGTGTGTTCATAGATTATATGCTTAACTGACTAAATGAGTTGGATAAGAGCTTGTTTTATTATTTAGTTTTATATTGTACTTTATGCATATAATGCTTAGATGAGTAGGATATAAATGATATAAATTACTTTAGGAGCAGATTATACAAGTGTATGTTTATTGTAATGATTGTTTTATTCTTGCATTAATCTCAAAATAATATGAACTAATCCATAGGCACTCGATGAACAAACCAAAACAGAACTAGAAGTTGAGGACAGCGCTTTGGATACACATTCAGAGGTGACGATGAATTTCTCTGTATTTCATTCATTCCTATTTAATTCATTCCATTTTTGCCATATTACTTTACTGTCAGATTTCTTTAATCAGAATTCAGCAGGTAAATAAATATTTAAGACTGCACACTGCTGTGGATTTTATGGAGGTGGCACATATAGGGCTGTGTGATGCTTTGGATTTGAAGGTGAAAGAGCACTTCAGATAATGGATTAGTGTTTTCATAGCAACTTGTGCAACTCTTTAAAGCATCTGCAGAATCCTAGAAACATACAGTAAATAGCCTGGCTGGGTAGGAGGAGAAGAGCCACATAGTCCAAAATCAGGAGTTTGATTGCACCTTTTCCAGCTTACACATTTTATTTAAAAGCATAAGCTTTAGTGAGCTACAGCTCACTTCAGTTGCATGGATTAGCTAAACTGATTTAGGGTTTAAATTGGAAAGAGCTGGAGTGGGGAGGGGAAGGCAGGGTGGTTCTGCAGATGCAGGCTGCATGTGAGACAGATTGCAAGTACCTGATCAATTAGCAATTATAATGTGTTAAAAACCCATTGTGGTTGTTGAGACTTCTGAGATGGCCTAAACTCTCTAAATTTAGCAATCTCTTGCTCAAGCGTGTTGGTAAAATCGATTGGTTCCAAAGCAGCTACTTTGAAATTTGGAATGGAATAATGATGGTGATTTTGTGTCCATTTGGGAGCAATGGTATTGTGCAAACTCCCAAATACTTAACAGCATGAAATGTAGAAAGCACACTAACAATGAATCTCCTGGCTTGCATTTTTCTTGGTGAAATTGCATGTGGCGGGTTGGAGAAAACAAAAAAGTATTTAGCTGCAAAAAAGTTGAAATAAGAAACTAAGTATGCAGCTTTCCATGTGCTACATAGCACCACCCACTCTTTCTGTTTGAGAAACGGTACCATCAAGACAAGAGTGCACAAGATTTCCAGAGTAACAGGAGCACCCAGCCTGGGTTGCAAAACTCTGATGACCTCTAACTAGAAAGCAACAGAGATACCAAAATTCTATGTGCCATCTAGTGGTCATCCAAGGTTGTGCAACTCAGATCTAGTAGCTCCACAAAGGAAGAGCTTATCTGAGTAGCTGTAGCGGCAGGTCATGTGGGAAAGAGGTGATGCAAACATATGCTTAGTCTCTGGAGTTGAGAATCATTGAGAAAATTATTTTCTCTCTTTAAAAATCCCATAGATGTGCTCGCCTGCCCAACTCAGGCAACAAACTGAAGAACTTTGTGCTGCTATTGATCAAGTCTTACAAGAACCTTTGACCAGGGTAGGCTAACTTCTAAAGCTACTTGCTTGTCTGGGTGTTTCCTTTCACATTCTGTAACTGAGCATCTATTGTTTTCAATCCATTCTTACAGCGCCGATGCAATTCCTCTCCAGGCTCCCTGAAGAACATACTAGATTCCAATACAGGCAAAGTAAGTGAGTAAGAGTCCTAATAAAAATTCCCAAATACCCAAATATGTGCCTCAATAGTATTTTTGTGGTTGTTGTTGAAACAGGGATGTGAATGTGAACATTAAAATTAAGTAGGCAGTAAAAAGGGAAATGTAGATCCTGGTACTCCAAGATTCCTCCTGTCTTTCTTTTCATGCTGCATGCATTCACTCACGCACATGAGGTCTGTCTTCCTTAGAGAAGTATTTGCAAAATACAGTAGTAACTTACATTCCAAGCAATAGCATGATGAATGTGGAAGAACAGTCTTCTTTTTCTTCTGTCTGGGTTCTGGGATCTGCTGCTGGCCGGAGCATCATCACCATCCTGCATGTCTCTGTGTGTGTTTTTTACGTGTGGCTTCAGGATACTTGGTTTAACCAAGATACTTGGTTTAGCCCTGCTGCATCAGGGATGGAGGCCTAACAACATCATCGTGGCGGAGTTATGTCAGTGGGGCTGAGAAAGGGTGGGGAGTCATAGAATAGATGGTGGATAAATTCCACTGCAACTCAGAAATTGCAAGGGTTGAATAACACCATGCGGGTTTCCTCCAGTGTGAGCCTCACTCAGTGGTTGCGCCAGTTCCCTAATCTCTCATCTTGCTCACTCAGATAGCATATAACAGCATTCTATTTTTAAATTTTTAATATAAGTTTTATTGAAGAAAAATTTAATAACATAAAAACAATACAAATATTAGAAAAGAAAGAAAATAAGAATAGTGAATAAGTAAGAAAGAAAAAAGAAAAAGAAAAAAGAAAAGATGATACAGCGGCTTCCAATCTTTTTGACAGTGGTTATAAATGCATTTATATTTTACCCTTTCTAAGATTACATAATAATTTCCTTCTTTCCATAAGCTATCTTTTGTAATCTTCAAACCCTTAAATCACAAGTTCATTTTTCTCTTTTTTCAGCAAAAATTCCATAAGGGGTTTCCAGTCACTAATAAATTTAGTTGTTGATCTTTCTCTCACCAAACAAGTTAATTTTGCCATCTCTCCTACTTCTGTCATCTTTACCAACCATTCCTCCATTGTGGGTATTTCAGAATCTTTCCATTTTTGCACATATAATAATAGTCCTTTTCTTTTTTTTAATAAGCTTTTATTATGGTCATAGACTGGCATGTGCACATAAAAT